GCTCCTGCCCTTGATAGAGCTCACACCGACTAGGGGGCAGGCAGCTTCCAGACTGGCACGAAGTACTGTCATGAAAATAAAACATTTTCATCTAATAGGCAGTGGATGGGGGCGGGGCCGACTGGAAGTGGGGGACAGGTGAAGAGGGACCTCTCTGAGGAGGTGACAGGTGAGCTGAGACCTGGAGGAGGAGGAGGAACGGGTCGTGCACACAGTGGCCGGGAACAGAGGGAACAGCCCATGCGAAGGCCGAGGTGGGAACGGTCTCGGGTGCATTCATGTTGCTGCTATTGAGCTGCTTGTTTCTGAGAGGCAGGCGGGCTGCAGAGCAGCAGGAGGTGAGGATGGAGGGAGCAGTCCTGGAGTTGGATGGTTGTACTCTGTGATGGAAGCCCCCTTGGGCTGCTTCGTGGAGAGAGGGTTGTGGGGGGCAAGCTTGGATATGGGGAGACCAGGGAGACCCGTGTAGATGAAAGGGTGGCGCACGTGAGCCCAGCATCTGCTAAATGCTTACACGTGGCATCTCACTTAATCCTCCCAGCAACCCTGTGAGCAGCTAATTCTTATTCTACCCATTTCACAGGTGAGAAAGCTGAGGCTTTGGAGAAGTTGAGTAGCTTGCCAAGGTCATAGAGACTAATTCTAGCCCTAACTCTAGCTGATGTAAATGGTGGAGCTAGGATTCGAGCCCCAGCGGTCTGACTCCTGAGCCCATGTGATCCTGTGTCATAACCATCTAAGGCCCTTTGAGTTGGGGGACAGGGTTGGGTGACCCCCGGGAGGGCTCAGTCCTTCCCAAGGCTCTTGGATGGACCCTGCAAGGACCTCATCCGTCTGTGATATTCTTTTGAATCAGAGAGAACCTGCCCTGATTCTGCGCAGAGCGCCAGTGGAAGGGAGAGTCACTCCTGCAGACATGAATGACTTTACTCTCAAAAACCCTTTTACTGAGGCGTAACTTGCTGCAGGAAGTGCATTCATCTTATACGTTCAGACAAGTGGGTTTTCACATAGAAAGTCACGGGCATGCCATGCCATGCTGTGTTGCACTCGGAACTACCACCTAGAACAGGGGTGGGCAAACTTTTTGACTCGAGGGCCACAATGGGTTCTTAAACTGGACCGGAGGGCCGGAACAAAAGCATGGATGGAGTGTTTGTGTGAACTAATATAAATTCAAAGTAAACATCATTACATAAAAGGGTACGGTCTTTTTTTTTTTTTAGTTTTATTCATTTCAAACGGGCCGGATCCGGCCCGCGGGCCGTAGTTTGCCCACGGCTGACCTTCCAAAGGAGAGAGCAATCCCTCAAGCCCCCCTCCCGCCTCTCCTCAAAATCTGACACCGGAGATTTTGACGTGCGCCCTCCTCGTCCCACGGAGGAGTCTGCTCAGAGGACAGCTTAGGTTTGCAAGTTGCTTTTGAGTCAAACTCTACACTGGGGGGTTGAATCCCAGCTGTGTCACTTATTAGCTGTGTGATGCTGGGCAAGTCCCTTCACCTCTCTGAACCCCCATTCCCTCATCTGTACATGGGGATAGGAATGGTTCCTACCACAGAGGTTGCTGTAGGATTCAATGAGAAAATGAAAGGAAAGTGCTTGGAGGTGCCCCAGCCTTGGACATGCTCAGTTCAGATTACCCACTATTATTATTGTTGTTGTTGTTGCTGCTGTTGTTGAAGCCTTGAGCACAGGAAAGTGTCCTATCGGCCTGTGTTTCCTCCTCCCTTCACCTCGAACCCACAGCCCATTGACCATGTCTCTAGGGCAGTAGCTGGCTGATGTGCCTCGGGGTGTCCCCATCTCCTGGGGGGCGGGCGGAGACCTCTGGAAGATCCCCCAGGACAGAACTCAGTTACCTCCAGGTTAAACCCCAAGTCCAAGCCCTGGGAGTGGTGTCTGCACGGATTCCCCGCAGCCCCCACCCACACTTGCAGCATTAATGGGCCTCCGCTCCTGGTGGGTTCATCTATGTGTGATTTATAGGGCTTTGGTGTGTGCTCAGAGGGCTCCCCTGAGAAATATAATTGTGCATTGGGAGGTGCATTTGAATAATATTTACAATTAAGTTCCGTCAATAGAGCAACGCTCCGAGGCCTCTGCACGGCTGAAACGGCCCCTGGGCTGGCTTCCCACTAACCACTCCCCAAAGGAAGCCTGGGGAGCTTTAAAATCACTCTCCGTCAGTCCACTTCTCTCAAGGCCACCTTTGCTCCCAGAGTCCAGGCATCATCACACACACGTGGAGGCTGCAGGAGCCCCTCATCCCCCCACCACCTCCTCCCAACCAGAAGGGCCCAGGCATCGGGCATGAGGCATCATTTCAATGTGCAGATCTGACCACATCACTGTTGTATGGGCTTCCCCTTTATCCCAGGGTCCCAGGATCCCAGGGTCCCAGGGTCCCAGGGGCCCAGGGTCCCAGGGTCCCAGGGGCCCAGGGTCCCAGGGTCCCAGGGTCCCAGGGTCCCAGGGTCCGGCCCTGCCTCCTCTCCGTCCTGTGTACCTATGATCAGTCTACCGGCTCTGCGGCAGCTGCCTCCCCTTCCAGACCCGCACGTTCACTCTGCTCCCTCCCACACCCACACTGCTTTCCCCTCCCCCTGGAACACCCTCTCGGACCTCCCACCACACCAGTGCCTTGACTCTCCTTCGCATCTCAAGCATCTCTTCCCCGAGGAAGTGTCCTTGGCCTCTGGCCAGGGTCAGACCCCTCTCCAATGTGTACGTGGCACTTACGGAGGTTGTTTTCCATTCAGAGAAAATTGTTGTTGTTGTTTTTAATTATTGGCTGTCTCTCCCACTCGCCAATGAATGAGCTGATGAGGACGGAGATTGTATGTTCGGATCACCCTGTATTCCCAGCGCCTACCACAAGGCCCGGCAAAAAGTAGGTGTTGGCTGGGTTGCGATGGCCTGGATGGACGGGTGGACAGGTACTCGCAGAGCTGGTTATGTACATGGATGGGTGGGAGGATGGGTGGATAGGTGGATCGTGCAGAAAAGGCTGGGCCCGAAGGAGGAAAACAGCTGGTTTGGATTTTGCTCCTGTTCTTCGGCTTTTCCAAGGGCATAATGATTTCCCGGCTCCCCGGGGCGGCCTGGCCTGCACGCGGCCCAGCCGGGAGGAGCGAGGCGCCGAGCCGAGGAAGCCGCCCGTCCTGGGGCTCAGGGGCCCGAGTGGCTGACTGACGGCGGCTGTTTCTGGGACCTGGAGCCCGTCCCGCACCATCTTGTGCCCGAGTCGCTTCACCTGTGACGATGGGGAGGGGACGGTGGAGACACCGGTCAGTATGGAAAGCCGCCCCCCTTTTGCTCTCAAGCTGTCCAAGGGCAGGTTGCTTAAAGCAGGCGGAGGCTGCAGCGTGGGATCGATTCAGAGCTGGCTCATCGTGAACACAATGGGCCTGACAAGTGAAGGAACAGTTTGTCTCCTAATGAGGTGTGATTCCAAATCGCCCATGGCCTCGGGCGCTGGCCAGGCGCTGGGAAGACATCACAGCTGCTCGCTGCCTCTTGGAGAACTGGCTTCAGGCTGAAGGGACCGGGAGGGGAGGGGAGAGAAGAGAATGCAGCCCTCGGAGACCAGAGGGCCTGGGGCCTATGAGGGGCTGCCTCCCGCCTGTCCCCGCTGCCTTCCCTGAGGCCCCTGGGTGCAGGAGGGGGAGCCAGTGGGTGAGTGTGGATGGTTGTCCAGGAAGCTGGAGGGCAACGGCCTTTTCTTTGCCAAGCGGAGTCATCTTTGGAAAACGATTTGCAAAGCTGACTTAAAAGGCCATTCAGGTGTTTGTATGAATCCGCTGAGGAATATATATTTATGGTCAAAACCCCAAGCCCCTCTCAAAACCTTAGGACTCTGCAGCCTTATTTGAGCCAAACGAGACCTAGGTTAAAATCCAAACGCTGGCAGAGATCAGCTGGGCGCCCTCAGGCAAGTTCCTTAACCTCTCTGAGCCTCAGATACTTCACATGTAAAAGGGAAGTCACGTGTAATTGTCCCTAACTCGGGGCTGCTGTGAGGAATAAACGCAATACCTGTACAGGGCTTATCATGGGGGTGCTAAATAAATGCAGGCTATCATTATAGTCTAGAACAGTGATGGCGAACCTTTTGAGCTCGGCCTGTCAGCATTTTGAAAAACCCTAACTTAACTCTGGTGCCGTGTCACATAGAGAAATTTTTTGATCTTTGCAACCATAGTAAAACAAAGACTTATATTTTTGATATTTATTTTATATATTTAAATGCCATTTAACAAAGAAAAAGCAACCAAAAAAAATGAGTTCGCGTGTCACCTCTGACACGCGTGTCATAGGTTCGCCATCACTGGTCTAGAACATTCTCAATAGGTACATTCTCTATAGGCTCAGACAGAGTTAGCTGTGTGCTGTTGGGCCAGTTGCTTGCCTCCTGGGAGCCTCAGCATTGCCATGTGTAAGGGGGATGATGACACTAGAACATTCTCAATAGGTACATTCTCTATAGGCTCAGATGAGACTCTGGTTAGCCGTGTGCTGTTAGGCCAGTTGCTTGCCTCCTGGGAGCCTCAGCGTTGCCATGTGTAAGGGGGATGATGACACCGGGGCACAGGAGGGCATTGTCCCAGGTGAGAAGAGGCTACAGGGCTGCACACAGGAGCTCTGTGCCTCTGGTACCCCAGGGCCTGCATCCCAGGCCTGCATCCCAGAGCACACAGTTCAAGGTCAGGCTCCAACCTCCGCTTCAAGTTCAGTGACTGGGCCCTTGGACGCACACCCCAGCCGCAAAGCACTCCCTGTAGCTTCCTGCCGGTGCCTTGGGACTGGTCTCTAGCAAGGCGTGGAGGAAGTTGAGGAGGAAGAGGAGAGGCCTCTTTGCTCACCTCCTGCCCCGGAGTGTTTCATTCTGAGTGGCTCCAGCCAGAGCCCATAGATTAGGGAAGGAGAGAGGAACCCCTGGGAGGGGGTGGGGGCCGCTGATGAAGCTGACCCCTCCACCCAGCACCCCCAGGAACAAATTAAAAGTGAGAACAGGGGTTGGGGGAAAGGACTAGCACCACCCCCACCCCCAAAATAGCTCAGCACAAAGCCCATGGGAAGTCCTTTCTCCTTCCCTTCCCCCCAAGAGCCCGCATGGCCCCTCAGGGCCTGTTCTTTGTGTTCCTAGGAGAGCTGAACACACATGCACGGTCCAGGGCTCATCTGTCACCTTCCTCTCCCAGGTGCCCTGTGCATTCCCCGCGCCCCAATCCAGAGGAGTGGCTTGAGGGGTGAGACGTCTGTCTGGCTGCTGGATAGGTAAGTAGGGAGAGGCGTGCTCTGCCCTCCTCCGCTCACCCCGGGAACGGACCCGGTAGAGTGTTTGTGTCATTTCCGGGGAGCGCACAGTAGATAGCATCGTCTCCCTGTCTCTTGCTGATCGCGGTCCACGGCAGTGCTTTGGAGATTCTACCGTTTGTGCTTTGCGTCGTCATTGTTGGTCAAGGCTGGTCTCCCAAGGAGCGTGGGACGCTGGTCCAAGGCTGTGGGCCAAGGGGCATGCCATGCCCACCATGCCACCGGGAGAAAGGGGTCCCAAGCCCTGGGTACCCGGCTCAAAACACTGGTCGGCCCCGTGTGAAATGCAGCGGGCGTTGGTGGGCGCTGCGCAGGCTCCCGCCGCGGCCTTGGGAAGGCAGCGCCTTGGACGCCAAGGTTGGGAGTGTCTGTCGGGGTCGCCAGGCGGGGCTCACAACATGTTGGTCTCCTTCTCGTTCTTCGAGGATCTCTCGTTGATGGACGACATCCTGGTAGAGTTCCTGTGGCTGGGGTCGGGGTACTGGCCCGTGTCCTCACTCAGAGCGTTGGCCAGGCGGGAGAAGAAGTTTACCCTGAACTTCTTGAAGTCCTGACCCATGAAGGCATACAGGATGGGGTTCATGCAGCTGTTGGCAATGGCGAGGACCGTGGCCAGGGGCAAGCCCAAGGTGAAGACGGAGGCAGGCACGGAGGTGTGGTGGAGCTCCAGGAGGTAGAGCGTTTGGTAGGGGCACCAGCAGAGGAAGAAGGTGATGATGATGGTCAGGATGATCTTGAAGGGCTTCTTGGTCTTGGCCAGGCGGTTGCGCCGGAGCTTGCAGACGATGGTGACGTAGCAGGCCGTGATGATGAGGACCGGGATCAGAAAGCCACAGAGGAAGCGCATGACGCTCACCGCCAGGTGCCAGCGGAACCCCACGGAGCCCGGATGAAGGCGAGCGGGCCCCAGGGAAGAGTTGGCCTCCGCCAGGCTGAAGTTGCTGAAGCACGCTATCTTCCCGTGCACGAGGACCGTGTCCCGGAACACGAGGGAGGGGAAGCTCAGGAGGGAGGCCAGGACCCAGATGACCACGCAGGCCACGTAGACCAGCCGTATGCTGCGGTGGTTCTGGGACCAGACGGGGAGGAGCACCGCGATGCAGCGGTCGAAGCTGATGGCCATCAGCAGGAAGACACTGGTGTGCATGTTGTGGTTGAGCAGGAAGTTGCTGACCTTGCACATGGCCGTCCCGAACACCCAGTGGTAGTCCGCGGCCACGTAGGCGATGTGGAAGGGGAGGAAGAGGTTGAACAGGAAATCGGCGATGGCCAGGTTGACGAACCAGATGGTGTTCACCGTCTTCTTCACCTTGAAGGTGGCGATGAAGATCACCAAGCCATTGCCCAGGATGCCCAGGCAGCAGATGACGCTGTAGACCACCACCAGGAAGATCCTGATCGCCCCGCCTTCCGGGGGTGGAAACTCCTCCGAAATCAGGATGGCTTCAGGATCCTCAGGGTACTCGTAATCGTAATGGTAATCGTAGGAGTTGTTGTAATCCTCCCCCTCCATGCTCTGCAAGGGGAGACCAAGGTCATGAGTGGAACCTGGACTGGAACTGCCTTCAAGAGGCCAACCAAGATCAGCAAGCCCGACAGGGTTCTCCCTGGCAAGGCACAAGGCCGGTTCCTTAGCTTAACTACTTCCCGTTTTGCTATTTTATTTACTTAACAAATAGCTGGCCAGCACCTCCTACACACCAGGGTCTGTTCTGAAGCCTTGACATACACAAACGCTCTTCATCCTTGCAAAGCTCAGCAAGGTAGACGGGTTAGGAACCCCATTTTACAGGGGAGGCAACTGAGGCACGAGCACTTAAGTGATTCGTCCCAGGTCATTCAGCTGAGAGTTAACCCAACTTCAGAATCTACCCTCTGGACAGCCGTGTTTTGCTGCCTCTCTGGAACCCTCCCTCACCTTACAGTCTAGTAGGGGAGACAAACATTCATCCAAAATTCCATGATCATGGAAAAAGTGGAGTAACAATGCTAAATGCCATGAAGGAGAGGTGCACAGGGCCATGAACTCGGTCCCAACCATGTTCCTAAGACCCAGGGGACAGCTATGTGGTGCTCCCACCTGGTCAGTGGACCCAACTGGCGCCCTTTGGAGATATGAGCTCAGACCCCAAGAGTCGCTCACCGTTCACTGTTAAGGTGTCCAAAGCTCTCCGGGGTGGGTCCTCGGCCAGTCAGTCTCCGTGCACAGCTGGAAACACCTGCAGGGAGAACAGGAGGCAGCTGCTGGGTCCCGGTCTCAGAGCCACCACGCTGGTGCACTCTGAGAAAGGACCTCTTGTCGTCACTCCCGATTCACGGAAAAGGAAGCAGGGACGTGCCTGAGGTGACCCAGCTGACGAGCAGCTGAGCTGGAATTGGAACCCAGGACCCTGACGCCCTGGAATCCCTGCACTTCCCACCACCAAAGCTCCTCCCATCTTGACAAACGGGCTCCACGCAGGTAGATGTCTGAGGCTGGCGAGACTGTCAGTCGATGGTGCTTCATTACCCATCACTGCAGCTTCCCTCCATCCAAATTCATCGCTGCTCCTTCATGGACTTGCGGTTATATTTTATTGCATAAGAGCCGTCATCTGATTTTATTACACAAGAGCTACTTGTAAAATTCCATTGAGGACTCTGGGCTCCAGGGACTCTGAATTGGAGCTGCGGACCCACTCCGCAGGCTGGGAGCAAATTCCAGGGGTGCCCAGTAACGGGTCCCCAGGCCCCCAGGCAGGAGGTGGCAGAGCCGGGATTGGAGCCCCGTCTGCAGAACCTGGGCTCTTCCCATTGCTCCGTGCTGCCCCCAAATCGTGATGTGATGACTGGGTGTCCACATCCCCTGTGCCCGGCTGTGCAGGCCCCAGGGACAAGGAAATGGCTCTTCTAGCAGGAGGGCTGCCTGAGCTCCAGTCATCACATCCACGCCCCAGGCAGGAAGCTGGGAAAGATGAAGGAGGAGTCTCCACGGAGCTCATAGTTGGTTGCAAGGCACCAGGCAGAAGAAGTGCTCCCAGGCCGGGAAGGGGTGCTCCCGGGCCTGGGAGTCAGAGGCTTCCTCAGGCCCCAGGAGGCTCAAGTTTTAACCCATTCGCTGAGCTTTAAGGACAGTTCTAAGATGACAGAAGGAGCCCTAGCCGGTTTGGCTCAGTGGATAGGGTGTCGGCTTACAGATCTGAAGTGTCCCGGGTTTGATTCCGGTCCAGGGCACGTACCTCCGTTGCAGGCTCGATCCCCGGCCCTGGTCGGGGCTCCTGTGGGAGGCAACCAATCGATGTGTCTCTCACATCGCTGTTTCTCTCTCTGTGTCTCTCCCGCTCCCTTCCACACTCTCTATAATCAATGGAAAAATATCCTTGGCTGAGGATTAACAACAACATCCACAAAAAAGATGATAGAAGGAGGGAGGAGGGTGGGCCCCACCTCCCAGCATGCCCCCCTTTCTGGCAGTCGGGGAGGGGGGTGTCTGAGCCCCTGGAGGAGGGTGGAAAGGAACGGGGACTCAGGACCGAGCACTTGGCGCTGCGGTGTCTGCCGAGATGCTCTGGGGACACAGATGACGTCACGTCTGGCTCTCCGGCTGGGCTGGGAGCAGCTCAGGGTCAGGGGCCACCTCTTTCCATCTTTGAATGGGGGCCAGGCTGGGCCGGCACAGGGTGGCGCTGACATCTTTGGGGCATGTCTGCCCGCTCGCTCACCCCTCACCCCTCCTCCTGAGAGCTGAGTGAGTCAGTGTCCCCAGTTGGTATGTGTCCTCCCCCCCAACACCCCAGTCCCTCGGCTCTCCCTGGATGGGGACCCCAGTCACAAGTTTGCATTTGGCCTCTATTCTGTCCCCACAGACATCCCTCCCGTCCTGAGCTCGTTTCTGCCCCCAGACCAGGTAGTTCTGGGTTGGATGGTCAAGGACACCGATTCTGGGCTGCCTCCCATCCAAATCCTCAGTCTGTATGAACTTCCTATGACCTTGAGCAAGTCAGTTACCTTCTCTGCACCTCAGTTGTCTTATCCATAAAATGGGCAGGATCACAATCATTGGGAATGGTTGAGAGGATTAAATGTCACATGCAAAGTAACTTAGAGTAGTATTGTTACTGGGTCACTATGTTGTTATTGTTTTTATCACTGTTCTTTTTATTATTATTGTCATGGTGATTATTATTTCTTAGGCTTCCACTCTTAACTCCCTCCTAAAATGGCCTTAGCCTGGGAAGGTGGGAGGGGACAGGAAGGCCAGAGGACCAATGCATCCTGCCCACTAGTCTCCCAGCTCTGGGTTCAAGGGCAGGTCAAGGGCAACACAGGCAAGGATTTTGCTTCTCTAAGCTCCAGTCTCCTCATCTCCCCAAGGGGGGTAAGAACCTCTCCCTCATGTTGTCAGGAGAGTCATGTGACATGAGAATGAATCCTTTGCCAATTGTAAATTGTAAAGAGCTATAAAATTCTAGTTATTCCTATTTCTTAAACCCTCACAACCAGGAAGCTCATGAAAAAGTATCTATAACTATATATACATAACATGTACACACATAGGTAACATGTATTTGAGTATTCACCATATGCCAAACACTGCAATGCAAGACTCCATGCAATGCTGCCAACCACCCTGCAAGGATATTAGTTTGCAGGTAAGAGAACTGAGGTTCAGAGAGGTGAAGCAACTTGCCTGAGGCCACACAGCTGGGAAATCTGACTCCAGAACCTGACTTCCAAGTCTCATGCTCCCTTTGTTTCCCTGATGGCTAGGGGGTCCTCAACCCCACCTCTCTGAGTCCTATAAGCCTCAGCCTGGAACTCTGAGAGCCCAGACCTTCATCACATTCCACGGAGCTGCCTTCCCCAAGCCACCTCACCTTTCCTTAAAGGCTCTGTGAAAATCACACCTGCGATGTAGGTCCTGGTCCATGGAAGTGCCCCCTGCCCTCTTGGGGTGCCCTGATGAAGCCCCCTTCCCAGTGAGAAGTGCCCTTGAGAATTCAGGGTAGGGAACACCACTGCTTCCCCTGCGGAACTGGGCTGCTTCCTCATTCTTGAAAATCCAGGTCCTACCACGGATCACATTTCCCTTTTTGACCTGGCCACAAGGAAGCTCTGAATCACATTTGCAGGTCAAAAGCAGCAATTCCATTGACCCTGCTGGTCTGCAGGTTTTTGCATTGGTTTGGGTTGGTCCTTGTGTCTACATCTATTATACTTGATATTGGTTTTAGTTCCTTATAATAAACTAGAGGCCCGGTGCACAAATTCATGCACCAGTGGGGTCCCTCGGCCGAGCCTGCAGGATCGGACTAAAACCAGCTCTCCGACATCCCCCGAGGGGTCCCAGATTGCGAGAGGGCGCAGGCCAGGCTGAGGGACCCCACCAGTGCACGATCGGGGCCGGGGAGGGATGCAGGAGGTTGGCCAGCCGTGCCTGTCCTTTCCTTGGACAGTTCCCATAGGTCCCTGGGAGAGGTTGCCAGGGAGAATTTGATACAGAAGGCAGGAGATCTGCTGTGACACCTGAGCAAATTGTTCCCCCTCTCTGGGCCTCAGTTGTGCAATCTATAAAATGGGAATAATAGTATGTGCCCCACCTACTTCTCAGGGCTGCTGGGAGGATGAGCTAAAGTGAAAAAGATGAGCTTCTGGAATCAGGACTGGGAGGGAGACAATCTCTAGATTCCTCTCTTTTTGTAACTCTTTTTTTAATAACTTTACTTGGAAATAAGTACAGACTCACAAGAAGTTGCAAAAATAGTACAGAGCAGTCCCGTGTAACTACCACCCGATTGCCCTCCAGGGCTGGAAGAGAGGGGACGGGTGAATGCTGCGCAGCTGTTAGAAGCCACAGCTTATCTAGGGCGCACACAGCAAAGCGGAATGCAAGCATCCTGAAGCCACCTCCCCTCCCAGCACTGAGTCCATTGGAAACATGCTTGCAAAAGCAGCCACACGCACAGAACAGTATGCACTGTTTTTTTTGTGTGTGTGTTGTTGTTGTTTTGCAAGAACACGGTGGAATCACAAGATACACATTGAACTAATTAGGATACACATTGAACCAATTAGAATGGTTCTGTGGGAGCGGAAATGGGAGGGGGAGGAGTAGGAAGCGGGGCTGAAAGGAAATCAATGCAGTGAAGAAAGTGAGACCAGTCGGAGCGGGGGCTTCCGGAGGCCAGTGGCGACGCAGATAGAGATGGACGGAGG